ATCTATTTCTGAAAAGTATCCAGTTAAAACCCTATTGATCACAACAGAATATTGTCTGATACAGTGCTGGAAGATGAGCCCCCAGGTTGGAAGGCACTCGGAATACACAGTGGCAACAACAGTGGACTCAAGCATACCAACGATCATCAAGTTGCAGTGATTGTATTGGTTGGGGTCCAGACGGAAAAGAGAAGTCACCCCAGTTACATTTACAGAGAGAATTTAAAGAACAATTTACTGGGTACTGAAAAGGAACAAGGAGGCACTGAGGTAGCAGGAAGCATCTACATCCCTAGGGCTGGGGGGAGCGAAGGGGAGAGCTCTGTGGTGGTAGGACTTGGACCTCTGAGGAGGGGTCCCACCCACTGGAGGAGACACCCCTGAGGAGGCAAGATGAGGCTGGTTCTGGAAATGTTGGGAGACAAAAAGGCTGAAGACTGGAACCAGCTGCTGCTATTGGAACCAACTGGGGGAACCAACTGGGGGTCCAAAGTGAAGTTTGCTCACAGGAACAGTGAGCAGAGTGGGAGGACCAAGTCTCTTCTCCTGCCTCCATCCTTCCAGGTTCGCTCTTGCGCCACCTAGTGGCAGATCCTAATGTGGCGCAGCAGGCAAAGCAGAAATGTGCTTTGCCTTAGCCCGTTTCTTGACTTAGTGAATTGTAGATTAGTTAGAAGGTGCATTCCCTGCTGTGATGGTTAAGATTGTGTGTCAACTTGGCTGGGCCATGATTCTCAGTGTTTGGCAGTCGTATAATGTGATCGCTTCCCTGTTGAGAGTTGATATGTGATCACCCCCATGATGGGATCTGCTGTGAGTGACCAGTCAGTTGAAGGGGAGTTTCCTTGGGCGTGTGGCCTACATGGAGTGTGGGGGGATGTTCAGGCAGGGCTCTGGGCTTTTGCTTGTTCTGGATCCTGCAGCTGGTTCCTGATCGTCAGACCTCCAGTTCTTGGGACTTGAGCTAGCAGCTTACCTGCGGTCTTGCCTGCCAATCTTGGGATTTGTCAGTTTTCACAGCCTGTGAGCAACAGCCCTGCTCTTTGGCCTCCCGTTCTTGGGTTTGCCAGCCCCTGCGGCTACATGAATCAGGAGAAGCCTCTTTCCTGACTCATGGACTTGGGACATTACAGCCTCTACAACCACATGAGCCATTTCCTTGATATAAATTTCTATATATATATATTTATACGCTTTATTTGTTTTACTTCTCTGGAGAACTCAGCCTAAGACACCTGCCAAGGCGTTGTCCTCTGTTATTTATAGCAGCAGGAGCCTGTAAAGGGGATATTGTGTCACTGGAAGTTCCCTTCCTGGGGTTCCAGGATTTCCTAACAGTGTAACAAGTGTTACATGCCTCCATCTTGCCCAACCCTGCAACTAAACGATTGTGCGCCTCCCCACCAGATTTTCAGCTCTGGAGACCAAAGCCGTTATTTCTGCCCCACAGATCTGTTAAGCTCACTGATACAACCCGGTTTATATTTATATTTAACTTTTTAATTATTTAGCATGAAATAAAATAATTTACAGTTCATTTCTTCAGTGTAACTAGCCACATTTCAAGCGCCCAACAGTCACCTGAGACTAGTGGCTACCATATTGGACTGCAGAGAATAGTACATTTCCATCATTGCAGAAAGTTTTGTTGGTCACAGCTGTCTTAGCCTTTCAAATGCTGATAAACCAAAAAACCAAACTCATTGCCATTGAGTCCATTCTGACTCATTACATTGGATCTTGAAGAGGATGTAGTAGGTAGCTTCTCCAAACATTTTTGACCAGTGAGTCCTTTTTTTTCATTGATTAAGAATCCTGGGGACTGTAGTTTTGGGGGCATCTAGGTCAATTGGTATAACAAAGTTTATTAAGAAAATGTTCTGCATGCACTTCGGTGAGTGGCACCTGGGGTCTTAAAAGCTTGTGAGCAGCCATCTAAGATGCATTGATTGGTCCCAACCACCTGGAGTAAAGGAGAATGAAAAACACCAAAGACATAAGGAAAAGATTAGCCCAAGAGACAGAAAGGGCCACATAAACCGGAGACTTCATCAGCCTGAGACCAGAAGAACTAGATGGTGCCCAGCTACCACCAATGACCGCCCTGACAACAGAGAGTCCTGGACAGAGCAGGAGAAAAGTGTGCCGCAGAACTCAAATTCATGTTAAAAAAAAAAACAGACTTAATGGTCTGACAGAGACCGGAGGAACCCCCAAAGCCATGGCCACCAGATGCTCTGTTAACCCAGAACCGAAACCATTCCCGAAGCCCACTCTTCAGACAAAGATTAGGCAACACTATAAAACAAAAAATGATACACATGAGGAGTGTGCTTCTTACTTAGTTCAATCAGATACACGAGACCAAATGGGTGACGCCTGTCTGGAGGCAGGAAGGGACAGGACAGGAACTGGTTGAATGGACACAGGGAACCTGGGATGGAAAGGGGTAGTGTGCTGTCACATTGTGGGGATTGCAACTAATGTGACAATATGTGTATAAATTTTGGTATGAGAAATTAACATAAGCTGTAGACTTTCACCTAAAGCACAATTTAAAAAAAAAAAGTCTGGAAACCTGCTTTGGTTATGTGATCTTGTGATGGGTCCTTGATTTCTCTGGGTATCAGAGAGTTCTCTATTCTTGCTTTGGCCAATGTTATCTCTGAGTTTTCTGTCTGATTTCAAACCTCATTGCCAGCACATAGCATCTGATGATGTTACTTCCACATTTCTCCAGCACAGTGTCTAGCCTAGTTTCAAGGAAAACCAAAGATGTTACTCACAGAGCCCTGACTGAGCTCCCTGTCCCCTATCTCTCTCCTCAACAATCCCTTCTCCCGTCTGCTGCCATATCTGATCACCACCTTCCCTGTGGCAACCTCTAGTGGCTCATGGCCCACAGGAGGAACTCCAAAGCCAGAGCCTTCAGAACACACAGCTTGCCATTTGGGCTGTGCCTTTACCACTGCCTCCTTCACTTCTGCCCTCACCCTGCCCTTTGTCAAACATCACTTGTTCCCTGGACTCTTATATACTTTACACGCATGTGCCTTTGCTCAAGTTGTTCCCCTTTACCTGGAAGCCCTCCCATCCCTTTGTCCACCTCTTTGACCTTTGCAGCAGGAGCCTAGTTCATTGACAGCCCCAGCTGCTGCCCCTTTATATCTACCACCATGTTCATATCAAGGTCATGCTTTACCCGGCTTGCTCCCAGCCAATGGCTGAGCGTGGTAGGGGTACTAGAACCAGTTTAGGACTTGTCCAATGGGCAGCTTTTGTCAGGGATTCCCCAGTGACTTGTCTGAAGTGTTCTCAGAGCTGTCTGCCATATGAGACTTCCTTCTGAAGTCTTTCTTCACCCCCCCTTTCCCAGATATCAGGCCTGCACCTCAGCTGACAGCCCACCTAGTCTACTCCTGCTCCCTCCCCCTTTATCTTTCCTAGGCCTTCTCCCCAGTAAATTTCTGTATGTCTAATCCTATCTTGGCATTTCTCAAGGGATCCAAATTGACACAGCCCTCTTTGCCATAGCTTTCTCTGACTCAAACCAGGCAGAAGCAAGCACTTTTTAAAAATTTGTTGTTGTTTTTGAGAATATACACAGCAGAACAAACACCAGTTAAAAAGTTTCTGCATGTACAATTCTGTGACATTGATTACATTCTTCAAGTTGTGTAACCATTGTCACCCTCCTTTTCTGAGTTGTTCTTCCGCTGTTAACATATACTCAATGCCCTCTAAGGTTTCTAATTTTTCGAGTTGCTTTTATCACTTTGATCCCGCACAGAAAGATCTTAAAAGAGTATAATGCTGAGGCAGATGTTCTTTTTTAGTTAAGCTAAGCTATGGTTTTAAGAAGACTTCAGGGGATGTTTTTGGTTTAAGGTTTAAAGATGATCTCAGGGCAAGACTTTCAGGGGTTCATCCAGCTTCCATGGCTCCAGAAAGTTTGAATTCCATGAGAATTTGAATTTCTGTTCTGTATTTTCCCCCTTTTGATCAAAATTCTTCTATAGAGTCTTTGATCAAAACATTTAGTAATCTTAGCCAGATACCATCCAGTTCTTCTGGTCTCATGGCAAAGGAGGCACTTGTTCATGGAAGCAACTAGCCACACATTCCACTTCCTCTTCTGTTCCTGACTCTCCTTTTTCCTCTGTTGCTCCAGAATAAAGACCAATTGTTGTGCCTAGGATGGCCACTTGCAAGCTTTTAAGACCCCAGGCACTACACAAGGAATAGAAGCATTAAACACCGTATTAGGCCAGTTAACTGGGATGTGCCATGAATTCATGACCCTAAACCTCTAAACCAAGGAACCAAATCCCGTGAAGTGTTTGGTTGTAATATAAGCCTCAGCAACTGTTTCTTTCTTTTTTTTTGTCGTTGTAAATGTATCTATCACACAACTTTTGCCAGTTAGCAACTTTTTACAGGTATACATCTTATTGACAGCAATTACGTTAATCAGCTGTGCAACTCTACCTATAATCAATGCGATTTTTCCATCACCATAAACTGAAATGAAGTACTCCATAAGCAATAACCTCCCCCTTTAAAATCAGGCACTTTTTCATTCATGTTCTTGTAGCCCTCTTAGACTCCTGTTGGAGCATTTATCACATGCTACCATCATGGCTGCTGCTATCGTCATGGTGCCTGTCTCCTCTGCTGGGCAGCTCCTTGAGGTCAGGCACTTTGTTTCTTCTAGTCCGGTCTCCCTGTACCTGGCAGGCACTGATACATGCTTATTGAGTTGAATTGGGCCTGTTTATCCTTTTAGGGGCTGAGAAATCCTTTCTCAATGTGGCCAGTATTAAAGGAAGGCATGTTGCATGTCTCTTGTCCAAGAAAAGATGCAACCATATTATTTATGCATGGGACAAGGCTGCATCCATCATAAATGAGGGGGTTGAAGTTAACACACTTGTTTACTAATGGTCCACTTCATTTTTCAGCAATATGGTGCCCACAATCTTTGTTTCTTCTCCAAATAGGCACTCTGCAGTACATGGCTCCGGAGATTATTGATCAGGGACCTCGTGGGTATGGTGCCCCAGCTGATATCTGGTCCCTGGGCTGCACCATCATTGAGATGGCAACCAGCAGGCCTCCGTTCCATGAGCTCGGTGAACCTCAGGCAGCAATGTTCAAAGTAAGAGCTGTTTGGTACTCTAGGTTGCTGGGCAAGGTGCAGAGACCATGTGGAGTCTGAGTCTTTGGAGGAGAGGTTTCTGACTGGGTTTTGGGACTTGGGGTATCAGATCCTTTATCCTTTGATTCTGAAAACCCTCCCAAGTTAACAGAAAGGGTGATCCATGTATTGTGGCCAACATCGTTCTGATTGACCAGTATGGCTGGGGGTTTTACAAATGGACACACTGAGACCTTGGGAAGGGACATGCTTGCTTGACACTCCATGGGAAGTTGATGCCAAGAAAGTCCTGTGTGTTCAGGGTCAGGTCGGTAGCTTGTGGTTCCGTGTATGCTTAGACAAGTTTGAGAGGGTCTCTAGTGCTGACTTCCCATGGAGCAGTTTTATTCCCCTCATTGCTGGAAAGCAAGAGTGTGAGGTTGCAAAATGCCAAATGGCTATTACTTTTGGATAATGAAGTCACAGTACGGTAAAGCAATTTGATATGATTCCAGAAGCCTTGCTTCATGGGTACCCTGCCAATATGGAGGCCTCTCCGCCTGTTCCTGCCTTGCAGCCTCATTGCCTGCATCTTTGCCAGCCCCTCCAACTAGGCTTCTTCAGCAGAAAGAATTCAAAGGCACGAGTGCAGGAGGTTCAGCCCACTCCGGGTGCTATGTGCTTTGGGTCCCTGCCTTTGCTGCTCTTCTTCACCTGGCCTTGCCCCAGGACTTGGGCCTCTGTGGAAGACACTCAGACCTTCCCACCCTCACACCAGTTGCTCAGGCAGTTCCAAGGCTAAGATCTCAAGTCGACAAGGATCTCTAGCAACTGCAGTTCTAACATGACCTTGAACACCAGAGCTGGAGGATAGCGATGACCTTCTCCCATACTTAGATGTCTTCATGATGGACCCAGTTGGGGCCATGTAAGCTTGCTCGCGTAGCTTTAGTCTCAGTTCTTGGAATACATAGCAGCTGGGGCTGAGGGATACATTTGGGCCACCTGTGAGCCAGGGCTGTTTGTTTTCCAATCTGCTAGTGACTTCCTGTGTAAACTCAGGCACACCCATCTGAAGGCTGTGGGTCGCTACCTTCATCCTAGGGAATGAGTGACTCCCTCTACCTCTTCCTTCCTCCTGGTTTTAGTTAGCTCCTTAGCTATTCAAATTTTTTGAAAATGTATTTATTTTCTTGGATGGCATATGTATTAGTTTCTTAGGGCTGCCGTAACAAAAGACCACCTAGTGAGTGGCTTAAAACAACAGAAAGTTATTGTCTCACGGTTCTGGAAGCTAGAAGTCCACATTCAGGGTGTCTACAGGGCTGTGCTCTCTCTGAAGGCTCTAGGAGAAGATCTTTCTTTGTCTCTCCCAGCTTCTGGTAGACACAGGCGTTCCTTGCTATAGCAGCGTAACTCCAATCTCAGCCTTCGGCTTCACATGGTGGTCTTCCCTCTGTGTCTCTTCTCTTTGATAAGGACATCACTTAGCTGGGACTCAGACCCACCCTACTCCAATATGACTTCATGTTAACTGATAACATCTTCAAAGACCGTATTTCCAAACAGAGTCACGTTCACAGGTCACCAGGGGTTAGGACTTCAACATACCTTTTTGGGGGACACCGTTCAATCCATAACACCATAAAAAGTCTATTGCAAATGAGTATTTTACTATTGTAAATAATATTTTGTGTGTTCTCTTAACAAAGACTGTAGACATTATTTCTGGGATCTCTAGACTCCTTCAGGAGATTTTCAGGAAACTTCTGGGCAGCATCAGAAACAAAGGGGGACCTTTCCCCCCTCCCCAAGGAGACCTTTTGAGCAGCAGCAAAGCACCCTTAAAAGTGTTGTCTTTGCAAGGTGCCAGGGGGTTGCCCACACCTGTTCTTTCTTCTGAGAGCCAGGGGACAAGCTGTCCACTTCCACTGGGTTCTTGTCCTGAGTTTTTCCTCTGCCCCCGTGCCTGTGGTCACTGCCCACTCCTCTCCCTGCTCTCAGTGGGCTACCCTCTGTAATGGGCCCTGCGTTTTAAATCTTAGTAGTTTGAATCCATCCAGTGTCATGGTCATCAACTGCTGCTCTAACAGAAATACCACAAGTGGATGGCTTTAACAAAGAGAAGTTTATTCTCTCACGGTCTAGTAGGCTACAAGTCCAAATTCAGGGTGCCGGCTCCAGGGGAAGGCTTTCTCTCTCTGTCAGCTCTGGAGGAAGATCCATGTCATCAATCTTCCCTTGGTCTGGGAGCATCTCATCCCACGAACCTCAGGTCCAAAGGTCATGCTTTTCTCCTGGCACTTCCTTCTTTGGTGGTATGAGGTTCCCATGTGTCTCTGCTTGCTTCTCTCTTTTATATCTTGAAAGAGATTGGCTTAAGACACTATCCAATCATGTATACCTCATCGGTATAATGTCATCATAGTGGTAGACTTTACAACACATAAAGAAATCACATATAACCTCATCATAACGATAGAGTTTACAACACATAAGGAAATCACATCAGATTTACAAAATGGTACACAGTCATACAATACTGGGAATCATGACCCAGCCAAGTTGACAGATATTTTGGAGGACACAATTCAATCCATGATATCCAGCCTTTAGTGGTCCGAAAATCCAAAACTCTTGAACTGTGTTTAAAATATAAGTGTGCTCCTCCTTGGTCAAGGGACACTGTGGGATCTGAAGTCTTCAGGGTGTGCAGTTTCCTTTCTACAGCACCCAGATCCCCCTTAATGGGGGCAAAGCAGGCTGAGGCGGCCCAAGATTGCCAAGGAGCTGGGACTAGGGGCGGACCTGGTGGGCTGAATGGCTTCCATCCCTGGATCCATTAGAAAAGAAACAGGGAAGACGGCATACTTTAAGATGCCAACTCCTAAAAAGAAAAGAGAGCCACTCCTAATGGGGACAGTTATGCAAGATGAACGAGTAGGATTTGTCATAGAAGCATTTCCATATCACAGGGAGATGGGACAACTCAGACCCAACTCTTGGTCCCCTTATAGTCCATAGGGACAGAGAGCCTTTAGCAGGACAGTGATTCACTGTCCAGAAGGTGGAAGCTGAAGCAGAAATTCTAGCAGGGCCCCTGTTGTGGATTGAAGTGTGTCTCACCAAAATCTTTGTTGGAGTTCTAACCCCGACACTGGGTGATGTAATCTTGTATGGAAATAGGGTTTTCTTCGTTATCTTAATTAGATCATACCCGAGTAGGGTGGGTCCTAAATCTAATTACTTCTGAGTTATAAAAAGCAGATTAGACACAGAGACACACATAACATGGGAGTCGGGGTTGGGGGGTGGGGGGGACAGATGCCATGTGAGGACTGTCTACAAGCCAAGGAACCAAGGAACTCTTGGGTTATCAGCAAGGAAGGAATCCACGTGGCCGAGACCCTGATTTGGACTGTTAGCCTCCAGAACCGTGAGAAAATAAATTTCTGTTCTTTAAAGCTGCCCACTTGTGGTATTTGTGTTACAGCAGCAACTAGGCATCTAAGACAAGCACCAACAGAGAAGGGCAGTGCCCCTTCCCCAGCCAGTTTGACCTCATGGGGATGAGGGGTTGGGTTTAGCTTTGGATGATTAGTTCCTTGTCTGAGTTACCAGTCCCAAGGGTTTATGTGCACGTGGTTTAGAACTGGAGCTTGGGAGTTTAGGCTGTTAGAGGTTAAGAGGCGTGTGGGGCATCTGTTGGATAAGCTGTGTTTTAGGAAACAGATAACAGCTGCCTCTGAGTCCCCTCCTTTAGCGCATCCTGCTGCAGACTGGCCCAAGTTCCGTCGCAGTTTTCTACTGCTGTGGAACAAACCACCACTTAGAGGCTTCAAGCAGTGATTGTGGGTTGACCGGTTAGTTCTTCTGCTGGTTTCTCTTGGGCTCACTCATGTGGCTGCACTCAGGGGGTGGCTTGGCAGTGTGGTCTGAGATGGCCTCTTCCACCTGGCTGGGGTTGCAGCTGGGATGGCTGGGCCATGCTTTCCATGTGGTCTTCACCCTGGGCTTCCTCACTGCTTGGTGGTCTTTGGATCTAAAGAGGACTAGAGTGCAAGCTAGGGAAGGCTCTGAAACTTAAACACTATCACTTCTGCCAAGAGGCCAGCCCAGATTCAAGGGGTGGGGGAAATAGAGTCCATCTCAGGAGGGGTGCAGCATCAGGATAACATTGCAAAGGGGCGGGGACACAGGTGAAGTTCATTGGGGCACTATTGTAACCTGTCACCAGCCCTGCACAGAATGGCGAATGTAGAGCTTTGTAGTGACTTACCTGCGACCTCACTGATACAGATTGGCTACCTCTCCCTTAAATGCAGGTGGGGATGTTTAAGATCCATCCAGAGATTCCGGAAGCTCTTTCAGCTGAAGCCAGAGCCTTCATTTTATCCTGTTTTGAGCCTGACCCCCAAAAACGTGTCACAGCTGCCACCCTGCTCAGAGAGGGTTTCTTAAGGCAGGTGAACAAGGGCAAGAAGAACCGAATTGCTTTCAAGCCCTCAGGTGAGGCCTACCCAGACAGCTGGACCAGGTGGCTGCACTGAGCTTCCCACCTTGGCGAAGGGTGGCAGGGATTGGCGTAGCAGGTTTGGGGCTTGCCAAAGCCCAACCAATGCATGTCTGTCTGACTTGTTGACAGGCACGTGAATCTCCAGTGGACTGTGATGCCACCCCCTTGTTATAGTCTTTCCTTTGAGATGGTGATGAGGAGGGAGGTGTCCTGGCTGGAGTCTGCTGTCTTCCTGGACAGAGCCCGGTTGCATTGTAGCAACCTGGCCTTCTGTGCTGCCCCTGACCCTGATTGAAGAGAGTGTCGGGGACAGTTTGCAAGGGCTTCTGCCTGGGGTGGCTGTCCTGCAGACCACCAAAACTAAGTGACCCCTTCTGGGGCAGTAAATCCTGATGGCAGTGACCTAAGGGAGACTCCTGAAAAGGAGGCCGTTTGTTTTCATTTTCCTGGTGTGGATCAGGGTCAGAACCCATGAAAGAAGGGCTCGGTGTCTTCCTCTGCAGAGCATGGTCGTCCGACTAGGTGCCTGCCCTGCTCCCCACCCCCCAAGTAGGCTTGTTAGAAATGAAGAGTTTCGGACCCTACTGGATCAAAATGTTCATTGTCACGGGATTTGGGGGTTATTGTTTGGACAGCCCAGTTGGAGCAGCGCAGGCTCCCTGGAGCTCACCTCCTCCCTCCCTCCCTTTCTCCTCCCTCCCTCCCTTTCTCCTCCCTCCCTTCCTTTCTCCTCCCTCCCTCCCTCCTTTCTCCTCCACACAGAGGGGGCCCTGGCGCTGCCCTTGCTGGGGGAGTTTGCAGGTGGTGGTGGCGGTGGCAGCGGCGTCAGCAGCAGCAGCAGCAGCGAGCACAGCTCCATCTCCCCTGACTCAGAGGCCCAGTCCGATGTGTTCTTCGAGAAGGCCCGGTCCCCAGCCTCCGAGTCACTGCCCAAGCACCACCTCAGTCATCTTCCCAGGTACAGCCTTTGTGCCTGGGCTGCAAGAAGTACTCATATTCCTCAGGGGCAAAATACCTGCAGGCAAAATCCAGGTGTTCCATCAGTATAGGACCACGTGGTCACTACGCTAGCAAGGAGGAGAGTTTGTTCATTTGCTGTCCCTCCCCCTTCTTCCCCTCCCTCCCTTTGTCCCTCTCCTTCCCCCCTCCCTTTTCCCCCTCCTTCTCCTTCCTCCCCTTACCCCCTTCCCCTCCCTCCTCTTGCCCCTCCTTCTCCTTCCTCCCCTTACCCCCTTCCCCTCCCTCCTCTTGCCCCTCCTTCCCTTCTCTCCCTTTGCCCCCTCCTTCTCCTCCTTCCCCTTGCCCCCTCCTTCCCCTCCCTCCTTCCCTTTACTTTGCTTCTTCCCCCTCCTGTCCCCTCTCCCCCTTCTGCCTCCCCTCTTTCTTCTCCTCCCACTCAGTCTCCCCCTCCCTTCCCCTTCTTGTCCCCTCTTCTCTCCTTCATCCTCCCCTCCCTCCCCGTCCCCCCTTTCCAGTACTGGAGCTCCGGGGATAGAGAAAACACTGCATTTCTCTTCAGATTCACCTTCCTCCTGCTGTTTCCAACCTTCCCCTGCAGTGCCATCTTCTTGAGGGTGGGGACTGCAGAGTATTTGTCTCTTCACACCCACTCTCCCCATAGGGCCCTAGCCTGGGACACTTCTGGAGAAGGTGCCCAGGGACTGCAGACATTGTCCATGTGTGTTTGCCCACAGTGTTCCAGATGAGAGCACTGCCTTGTCCCCGGAGGACAGGGACCCAGGCCTCTTCCTGCTGCGCAAGGACGGTGAGCGCCGTGCCATCCTGTACAAAATCCTGTGGGAGGAGCAGAGCCAGGTGGTTTCCAACCTGCAAGAGTGCGTGGCCCAGGTACAGGCCTCAGGGAGGGCACCTGCTGATCCTGCCCCCTCTGCCCCATCCAAGGAGGGACTGAGGAGGTTCCTGCTACACTGGAACATTCTCATAGTTACAGTAATCACTATAAAGGTTTCCCAACTTCCTTCCCTACCCCAGTAAAACAAAATACCAAGAGAAAAAAAACAAAAACAAACAAAAAAAAAACCACCGTAACATGAATTTGCAAAATACTGCGGTGAGTCTAGGCAGTGGTGGGCCGGTGCTGCCCCCTGGTGGTGAAACCAGCCGGATGGCCACACAAAGTCCAGTGGGTGGGAAGAGCCTCAGCCTCTGGGAGCCCAGGTAATCCCCTAGCTATGGGCTTTCTAAACTGTCCAGGAGGACACTAGAGCTGTCCTCAGAAGCTGGAGAAGAATCACTTTGGGAGGGAGCTTTTAACTAGGAAGCAGTAATGGCAAACTGATTTCACACCTCCGTTACTTTGGTTGGGGAAAGTCCTTTTATGAAGCAGACACTGCCCCATGATGGAAGCATGAGCCATATCTTCTGATGAGGCCCCAATCTTTCTCCTTAATATGGGGCTTAGTTGTAAGAGTGTGTTTGCTTACACATGCAGGCCAGGGAAGAGCAGGGACCAGATAACCCTCAGACAGGAAAGATCTGGAAGAAATTCCAGGAGCAAATGGAGAACTCTTCTCACCTGACAGTTGCACAGTTCCATTAACTAGATAATTGTCACCTAGTTTCCCCTCAATGAGGCACAGTGGTTAACCGCCTGGCTGCTAACCCAGAGGTCAGTGGTTCGAACCCACCAGCCACTCCATGTGAGAAAGATGTGGCAGTCTCCTTCCGTAAAGATTACAGCCTTGGAAACCCTATGAGGCAGTTCTCTGTTCTATAGGGTTGCTATGAGTCAGAATCGACTCAACGGCAACGGGTTTGTTTTTTTGATTCCCTAAATATTTCTTGAATTTTCCCTCCTTCGCTCAGACTTACTCAATGAAAATAAATTTTTTTCTTTCTTTTTTTGGGGGTGGTTAGAGTTCAGAAGAGTTGCATCTCTCAGTTGGCCACATCAAGCAAATAATTGGGATCCTGAGGGACTTCATACGCTCCCCAGAGCACAGGGTGATGGCGTCTACAATATCAAAGCTAAAAGTGGAGCTGGACTTTGACAGCTCATCCATCAATCAGATTCACCTGGTACTGTTTGGATTTCAGGATGCTGTGAGTGCTACATCTAGCCCTAGAGAACATACTAGAAGGCAGGGAGCCCACTGAAGTGGCTCATAGCTAAGACCACAGAGTCTGATTACCATCTTCTCCCACCGTCCTCATCTCTTGTCACCTGTTTAAGTCCCAAGTTTCTGCAGCACCCTCTAAACACAGTGTGCAAGTATGTGAAATGTCACCTCAGTAAATGTGCTGATTTGCACTTGGCCATGAAAAGCATGAGGATAGGATTTGGGTACATGTGGCAACCGCTAGCAGAGTGGGTGTGGGGTTTAAGCTTATATGTCTGCCCAAACAGAAGGGAGTTCCTCCAGGCCAGAAACCATGTCTTGTTCATGTTTGTGTCCCAAGCACCGAAGATGGAGCTGACACTTCATAATTGCTCAGTAAATGCTTGTTGAAAAAACAAACGAAGAGCTCAGCGAGGCTGATCTATCACTGTACCCATCCCCCCGCCCCCAGCATGACTTAGGGCTAGCTTAGAGGAAGACTCAATCCCAAGGAAAACACAAGTAGGTCAGAAAACCAGGGCAGCTTGGTTGATACTTCATCTCAGGGTAGAGGCAAATTAGAATTAGTAAGGACTAACTTATATTTCTTAAAAGTCTACTGTATCAGGAATGTGAATTTTTATGATTTTTAGGTAAATAAAATTTTGAGGAATCACTTAATTAGGCCCCACTGGATGTTTGCGATGGACAACATCATTCGCCAAGCGGTGCAAGCTGCGGTCACCATTCTCATCCCAGGTAAGTGCCTTCTTTGTGGTCAAGGTCAGCTTCAGGCTATGGAAAAATCAGAAATGTCCCGTGCACTCACCACTGTTGCTTTCTTCTGTTTCATCTTGGCTATGTACTTCCCTGCATTTGGGTGAATGCTGCCATAGACTCCTTCTGGAGCCAAGATTCTGTGTTCTAAGAATCTCACGGCTCTGTTTGTGTGCTCCCTTGGCGTAATGGAGTTGACTGCAGGTAGATCTCTAAGGGAGTGTTGAGCCTGCGGGTGAGGATCCTGCACTCCTCTGGTATCCACTGTCTATTTCCGGGTGAGCTCACCAAAGGCTTCCTGGTTGCTTGATCCTCTTAACGTTCAGTGTCTTTTCTGAGAATCATTATGTGGTAGCTGTAGAAATCTTTGGCTTTTGTAGCCTGTTTTTGAGATGTCAGGGCTGCTAAATACCAAAGTTGATTCTGTTTTTATGGTGACTTCTACAAAGGGGGACTTTAAACCTATTTTGTTGACATTGCCACTTCCTCTATTTACTTTGATCTCTCTGGTCATCTTACCTGCCCTTCTGACAATTCCCTAACATGGGCTACAGGAAAGGCTTGTTAAACCCAATGCTTCATTACTTCCCTACTCCAAGCAGGCAACTTTCTGTAGTTGAAAAAAAAAACCCGGGCCTGGTTGTACCTTTTTCAAGCTGTCCTTAGCTAACTCAACATGTTTAAGCCTCTCTCTCCTCATCTGTAAACTGGGGGTTAATCGTTTTTACACGGCAGAGGACCAAATGAAGTCTCCTTTCCACTGAGGAAGTCAGTAGTACCCTGATGGTGTTGCATTGGCCAGGCTAGCCTCTGTACAGTGTGGTTTGCTGAGATGGGACATAAGCTCCACCAAGCCCTGGCCTTGTTGAAATGCTCTTTTGATAAAAAGCAGTTGCTGTCAAGTCAGCTCCGATTCATGGCAACCCCACGTGTGTCAAAGTAGAACTGTGCTCCATAGGGCTTTCAGTGGCTGATTTTTGGGAAGTAGATCCCAAGGCCTTTCTTCCAAGTCTTCTCTGGGTGGGCTCAAACCTCCCAACCATGTGGTTAGCAGGTGAGTAGTTAGCTGTACCACCCAGGGACCATAGTCGTTCCTACTATGATTTTGCAGAGCTACAAGCACAGTTCGAGCCTGCCTCTGAGATGGAAGGGGTAGATAAGGATGCAGACATGGAAGACTACCACCCCCTGGCAGACTCAAATGGAAGCAAAGTGCCTGCCACCTATGGAGGGAGCAGACCCAGTTCAGCAGCCTTCCAGGAGATCCAGCTCCACCATCCCTACCAGCACCTGAGCCTCCAGCTGGGCAAGCTCAGGGAGGAGACTACCAGGTAAGAATCTTCTACACCCAGTACCTGGAAGAGGGGTGGGAGATTGACTGGAACTGACAAGGTGATTGGTTTAATTGGGTGGACAGTGCCTCACCTGGGTCTCAGAAAAGCCATTTAAAGTACAAATGGTTTGTTGTAGAGCATCTTAACGATCTGTGAACTGGGCAGGGGGGTATTATCAGGTTAAACTGAAGGACTGAAACAGGTATGTATCCCACAGCCCTAGCCTCAAGGAAGTTTTCCCACTCATCTTGGACTCTTCCTTGTGATTTTTCACAGTCCTTCGGCAGGCAGTCGTGGGCTGCTTCCCATCCAAGAGTGCCTGTACTGCTCAGTGATCCCCCAGAACACTTGTCTGTTTTGTTCACTTCCTGGCACATAGTAGGTGCTCCCTAAGTCTTTGTTAAATGAAGTGATTCCCATTTGCTCTGGGGATCCCATTGTCAATGGGCTTTAAAATATATATATATTGATCCACAGCTGTAGCGAACTAGTTGGTACTTGTTCCAAATGTTGCTTTGTAGCCATAAGGTCACTGGTGATGCTGATCAATACTTAACAGGAGTTGATAAGGTACCAGGAATACGTATTTTGGCATAAAAGTTGTATACATCCCCAGGGATCTCTGAAGCTTAACTAAGGCAGATCAAATCACTTTTTAAAAGGACCTAGAATTTTAATTAAATGGTAGAGGCAAAATTCTTAGTTTTAAAATATGACAAATATGAAAGTTGACAGTAATACTTAGCATCTCTTTAAAATGTTTTTTTCTGGTAAGGTTTGCAATCACCAAATTCATAAAATGCTATCTGTGGGTTCAAAGTTAGTCCTCTCCACTGTTGAGTCATTCTTCTGTCTCCCAGTCTCAGGAGAATTAGGCAGTCAGTGAAGTTATCAGCCAGCACATGAGCGCAGGTCGTTAATAAGCACGCAGTGCCTCTGTAGTGTGCCTGCCCCTGTGCTACAGACAGCTGTGTGATGGTCGGACAGAACGATGCTCGGTGGGAGTATCTGGTCAGTCCTAGTGACAGCCCCACAAGCCCATTTCGCCCATAAAGTTGGTTAGAGCTGTTTACCTAGCCTGCTCTCCGGTCCAGACGGGCTCAAGGATGCATCAGGGCTCCAGTTGGAGTGCTACAATTGCCTCCTTAGCTAGTGGAAAAGGAGGACTTGTTGAGAGACAAGGACAAGGCAGGCAGGGTAGGGATGGGAAATGACTTCAGCGTTCCTCACTTGTTGAGCGCCAGCATTTCCTGTGTTGCTCCCTGGGCCAGAAGTGCTGTATCCACACCCCATTTTTGCCAGCAAATTACCCAGTGCCGCCTGTGTCATCACACTTGCTCCCTGTTTTGCCGGGATGTTCACATACTGTTGCAGGGTGACTTTTGAGGGCAATTTCAATGATGTAAGAGCAAGTCCACCAGCATGGATCATATAAATTAACAAAAAGCATGGCGTTAAAAACCAAAGGAATCTCCATTCCCTAGGTGCCTGCAGAAACAAGAAAAGCTGGAAACGGCTCTAATCTGCGAGCCCCTCCCAGCATGGGGGGTGGTGGTGAATCCAGTGCTCTAGGCTCAGCTATGCCAATCCCTTTCTTGTCCCAGGGAAAACTACAAACAAGATTGGGTGTCAGGAGACTATCCTGAGGGGAGGAGCCCAGCCAGTGTGAGCTTCCCTTCAGCTTCTTTATCTTATTAGGGAGACAAGTTTAAATAACCAGACCATCCTTCTGGCTGAGTTCTGCCAATTGACATCAAGTTAACTTTTTGGTTCGTGATACATTTTGAGACAAAATATACTCACTAAGTGCAAGTCTTTGTTTTCAAGTGGAGGAAAAACACGAGGGTTCCCATATACAGGCTGAAACCTGATTCACAGAACTTTTAGAAACGTCACCTTTGCTTCCCTCACTAGACTTGACTGGTGGCCTTGGTTTTGTCAATCTCTAATATTCAACATGTTTGAGTTGAATTGAACAGTGTTTGTTAGGGTATTCATCAGGGTCTCTGGATGATGGCTTTTTTTTTTTTTCTTAAACCAGACTTTTGGAATACCTAATTCAAAGAGAGAGAGAGTACCAGAATTTCCTACGGCAAACTCTAGAACAGAAAACTCAAGAACTGTATCACCTCCGGTTACATTTAAAATCTAATGGTGAGTCGTTTTCCACTTGGTCTGATTTATGTGTATGAGAGAGATGGTTTCAAATCTGGCTAATAAACATATTTTAGTCAACCCTGAAATCAGTCTAAGTTATCCTCTATTAAAGTGGTATTCCAGTAGGTTCTAGAATACTGTGCTGTTGAGTCGATTTCAAATCATCGACCCCATGTGACAGAGTAGAACTGCCCCATAGGGTTTCCTAGGCTGAAATCCTTACAGGCATAGATTGCCAGGTCTTTATCCCATGGAGTTGCTGGGTTGGTTCAAACTGCCGACCTTTTGGTTAGTAACCGAGCTTTTGACTGATACGTTCAACAACAAACATGGGGTGAACAGCAAATGCATGTGAAAGAAGCCAGATCCAAAAGGCTACATACTATGATTCCATTTATACAGTCTTCTGGACAAGGCAAAACTGTAAGGACAGAAAACAAATCAGAAAATGGCTGGAGTTGTGGGGAGGGGACTGACTATAAACAGGCACAAGGAAACTTTTTGGAGTGATGTAAATTTCTGTATCTTGATCATGGTGGTTATTGTATGCATTCTTTCATAGCACTGTATGTATACCTAAAAGCAAGAGAAAGATGCGACAGTCTGCTTCCATGAAGATTTACAGCCTTAGAGTAACCCTATAGGTCATGTAAAACTGCCTCATAGTGTTTCCGAGTCAAAACCGACTATACGCAGTGTGTTTGGTTTGGTTTACCTAAAAAGGCTAGTTTACTGCATAAAGTATACCTCAGTAAACCTGAGTTCTTCATTTTGTGCCACTTGGGAAAGAGCTGTAGCTACCTCTTGGAATGAATGAATGAATGAACAGGGAAATCTCAGTAGTGAAACTATTATTTCCTCACTTGCAGTTAGGGATATGATTCCCAAGAAAAAGGCATTTAAAGGCAGAGGAATAAGCATATAAGGTGGTAGGCAGAAAACATGTCAAATTCCAAGCTAAACAAAGGCAACACAGTTAAGGATTATTTTATGCTCTGGAAACAGAATCCAAGAATTATAATCCAAGAATTATGAATCATTGTTTAATATATATTTGAGCAACTGAGTGATACAGACTTAATTCATTTCCTTTTCATATCACCCTATTTATGTTCTGGAAGAGTTTTACTGTCTGACATTAATATACAATAAAACACATTTCTAATCATTACAGGTATTACACAGAAGCCAGCACCCCATTGTGGGTATCCTGGGCAGAGAACAGATCAGGAGCTCGAAGACTGGTTGAAACTGCAAGGAGCAGATGCTGAGACAATTGAAAAGGTAAATCAGTAATCATACAGCTGTTCCATATGCTGTTGTTAAAGCTTCTGAGCACGTGTATATTTGATCTTCGTTTCAGATTGCTGAAGAGGGTTATACACTTTCTGATATTCTTAATGATATCACTAAGGAAGATCTAAGATACCTTAGACTTCGGTAAGCGCACCTCAAAACAGTTCTTGTAACAGAAAATTATGTTTCATCCATGATTATGCTTTTAAGTATTAGAAAACAAAAAGTGCTGGTAACTGTCCTCCTTTGATTGACATTAACTCCCTTCCCTCTGGGTTAGTCAGAAAACAAACAGCCCAACCTCCCTCCAAAATCTGGAGTTTTGCCAGGTTCAAGATGGGAGAAAGAGATGGGAGAAAGCAGAGAGGGGCAGAAGCTGAAGGCCAGGTAAGAAAGGTCAGACGGAGGGAGAGGAGAAAGGAAGTGTTCTCCATAGTTTGATCTTCTGCCGCATGCGCCTGGCTGGGAGTGGGGTGAGGAAAGGAACAAGATGCCAGGGGAGTAGACATTTTTCTTTACACTGCAACCTGCCCCGTTATTTTCAATAGCCTACAGTGCACGAACCCATCAGCACTACTTACTGTACACACTTCAAAGTCCATGTCCCACTACTGCTGGGGCGCAAGTGTCACCTCCACACGTGAAGAGAACAGATTCGGATTTTAAGATTAGATGCCAAATCTAGAATTATATGCAGTAACTTTTGTCCCAAGGGCTCCTAAAGAAGTATTTTGCCTTGTTGCTTTGAATGAAGTTCTTAAGACTCTGAAGAGGTGCTTTTCCTTGTCTCGTAGCGGTGGCCTGCTCTGCAGGATCTGGAATGCTGTCTCCCAGTACAGAGCACGGGCTCTGGAGCCCTCCAAAACCAAGCAGTAGGCAGAATCATAGCCAGGTAAGCCGTCCGTCTGTCTTTGTGGTTAAAGATTCACATACGTACACAGTCTGCTGAGTTTGTTCAGTTAGCAACTCAAGAACTTAGGGAAGTTTTAAAGACGATCCTACTGAAATGGATTTCTTTTTTTACCCATTATTTATACATGATTATTTATACATGAATAGAGCTGTAGAGCTGTATTTGTGAGCACAGTGATTGTGAGTCTGAGTTTTGGCATACCAGGGTATTCCTGAAATTCTTAAAGATGGATTTTACTTTTTACTTCAACGAAAAGAAGGCAGCATACCCTATATAGCACTTGTTGGTTGGAAAAGGTTAAACAACAGGTGCTGTATTTAAAGGAACTAAAAAGCTAGGGGATCTGTTTTAGATGGTACTGCACTTAAATTTGAAAAACAGATAATAGTCCTTGCATTTAATGTTTGAATAGTAAAACTAAACTATTAAGAAAATAGCTTCATACCGAATGTACAAATGGAAAAACCGAAATTACTTGAGCTTTTGAGCTTTGACATAATCATGAAAATCATGAAAAAGGCTTAGTACTTCCTTCTAGTACTTCCTTCTGCTCCTGCCTGTTAAAATAATAAATACCATGTTTCAGCATGGAGAAATAGAGGATGGACAGTGTTTATAACGGGGGTTTCTAATCTATGAAGTTAGTTGTGCTAGCTGCTGGTTAATGTAAATTTGCCAAGCACTGATACCTCTGGGCAACAAGCCTCCCCTCAAAAAAGGTGGCAGGGTTGGACTGGGCATACAAAGGAATTGTTTTTTCTTTTAATAACTAAATTCCTATTTAAATCAAACTTGAAATTGCCTTGCCATCGAGTCGATTCTGACTCACAGTGACTCTACAGAACAGAGTAGAACTGCCACATCTCTCCCATGTGGATGTGGAGGTGGAGTGGCTGGTTGGTTGGCTGGCTCAAACTGCCAACCTTTTGGTTAACAGCTGAGCGCTTAACCACTGTACCACCAAGCCTATTTTAGATTAGACCTGTATAAATCTAAACTCTTTACAATATTCACACTAGTTAAGTACTTCTTAACATCTTTAAATGTTAAGATGTACAAATTGCATGCAAATATCATCCCCATGCAAATATCATCCCTTTAATCTACATACTATTTAGTCTTAATGAAAGTTTATAAGACTTGTTTTATGGATTTTATTCCTCCTTAAAACAGAAACAATGGCTTAAAGTTGATGATGACCATCCCAGTGAAGGTAAAGTAAGAAATTTACTTGTGGTGGTCTCCCTGTCTCCCTTTAACTGACTGACTTAAACTTGATCCACTGATTTGCACCACGAACTTCAAAAGGTGGTTCACTGCAGTAGATGTGATGGCCTAGTTCTTCCAAAGGCGGTTCCGGATCAGCTGTAGCAAACTGGGCTGCATCCTCAATTTCTTTCCTCACTTCAACGTCAATTTCCTGAAAATCAGATTATATAGTTCACAAGAGGTTTTGGACTAAACAGCAGCTTAGGTACCAACTAGAGTTATACTCTGAACCTGTTGCTGCTCTTCTACTAGTAACAGAAAACCCATTGCCATCTAGTTATTTCTGACTCATTGGGACCCTACAGGACAGTAGAACTGCCCCACAGGGTTTGAGTGGCCAGTAGATTCAAACTGTTGACCTTTTGGTTAGCAGCCAAGCTCTTAACCACTGTGCCACTAATAGAAGCAGTAATCACTGCTACTTTTGAAGATTTAAACAAAAGTAAATTATAAGATGATCCACATTATTACAAAGTTATTACAAAGCAAAGGTTCTGGAATAGAAGCTTTGGCATAAAAAAAAAAAAAACCCTCAATATATCCTGGCTAGGGAGCACTTATGAATTAAAAAAAGAATTGTGCTCTTCTGGAATGTAAAGGCTTTGCAATGATTAAGTCATGTCCTATGGTGATACATACAATTTCTCATTGACTTGGGTACTTTACTGCCCACCACTGTCTTCTTAATAAAGAGTAATACTGTAACTTTGAGAAAAAAATCGAATGAAATTTTCTAGTATAAATGTTATGCCCAAACTTTGGCCACCCAGCCTTCCTTCAAAGCCTGACTTTTAAACCACTGAGAGCGACTGTACCTTTAATTCTTCAACACTGGCAAGGTTGCTGTTCACCATTCTATCCTTGAGAAGCATAATAGGATCACTCTTACTCCTTACTTCCTGAATTTCTTCTCTTGTACGGTAACTATTGTGAGGGAAAGGTCGTTATAAATAGGTAAGAACAGTAAACATAGTTTTGTAAAACACAATAAAGTTAAATACCGTAGAAGTGTGCTTCTGAAACAAAGGTGCATATCAATACCTGTGTCACCATGGGAGTGTCAGAGTTAATACTTTCAAAAGATGTTAGCATATTTAATCCAACCAACCTGAAATTAGTTTTGGTGCTCAAAATACAAGAACCCCAAGCTAACTAACATTCTGTAACAGCTGCTCATGTCTTTTATAGGAAACTGGTAATTCCCCCACATTCTGACAACAGGGCCACACTGTTGGTTTTTTTTTTTATTATTTAAATGTTGGAAGGAAGTAGTAGAGTCCTCTTTATATGCTATGTGGCAAATGGCTCACCCTTTTGGGCTCCTATATTTTACATGGCTTGGGGCAGTGTGGATAATTACAGATTTTTGAGACATCAGAGGGCCAGGGGTTTTCTCAGACCCCAGAGAAGTGTGGCCAGCAAAAACCTGGATGCCAAAGTCTAATTCATCATTTAAAATACCAAAAGCAATGGAACTATGCAATGTACATTTAATTTCATTTCTCTCTGTAACATTTTACCCTTTACCCTTAGAGCTCCATTCTACAAACAAAAGCTTGGTAAGGTTTACTTTTACTAAATCTACTTTTCTTTAAAGTGGTAACAAAGTAAAACTCTTATCTTCCTAGTGTATAGTGTAACCTACCTTTTTTGGTTGATATGTTTTACGATATTGAGCACCTTCCTTATGTGCAGTTAGCCTGGCTCTTTCCAGTCAAAAGAACATTTTGAAATTCCAATGTTCTTTCTTCAGGTATGTCATTTCAGGTATGTCATGAGCGAACTTGGCCAAGGCCTACAAAAAACCTAAATGCCTCCAAAAAATGCCTCCAAATATACCAAGGATTTTTATACCAAGGATTTTTCTCTGCAATTAAGTTATATATTACTGCTTATATATTACTGCTTATTCTAACATCTATATATTAGAGATTTTTCAGAATGTTTTCTATATTGGAATTTATTGAGAAGGCATTGCTTTCAGACTAAAACTTAAAAAACTTAATGAACTATTATTTGATAATGAACTATTATTTGATAACTCAGCCAATGAATGAAACCAATTGGGTAGCTGGTTTCCAAAGCAAATGTTTTGCTTTTTACTTTTTATTAAATACAGGAGTACAACCCCAACCCCTTTGTTGGGAAGCACACTCAGGTTTCCCATTACCTGACTCCAGGATCACTCATACTGTGTCCGTGGTACCGGTATGTCTGCAGTTCCATCAGTATGGGCCCCTGTAACAGAAACAACGGGAGATGAGGGCTGGGCTCAGTACAACCACCACCACCACCCATGGCCTCAAATGCAGACCCTTTCTGGATCAAATATATTCTCACTAGATCTATATTAAATAATATTAAATAAGCTGAATTGTCAAATCTTGATTATTCATTGACGACTGACTCTTAAGTTATTGGTTATCATTTCTAACACTGACTTACTTACTGCATGTTTTCTCCTCATTTTTAATAGAAACTTAATAAGGCAACCTGCCACAGCTTGTTGTGAGCCAAAAAAGGTATTTAGAAAGGTATTTAGCAGGTTATAGAGCCCATTGTTAAATAAAGCAGAACTATTTCATATAAAATCTAATCTTATAAAAATGGATTTAAACAAAAAAACCTATTCTTTATTACAAAGTGGAGAGGTGATGGCCAATCTCTTTCCAACTTTTTTACAGTCACAAGTGAAATTGCTCTAAAACCATTCTGCAATCCCAAAAGCTAGACAAAACAATATAAACTCTGACAAAACACCAAAAACAGGCTGGGTAGGTAAACTTCCATCTCCCATTTTATGTGCTGTTCCTTAGGGGCTGAGAGACATCAATCTTGCTAGCTAGGGGGTAACAGAAAGCTGGCAGGCAATAATGGTTTCTGCTACCAAAACCCTCATGGCTCTGCTGAGAGTTTGGCCAGCCTCACTATGCTTCACCAGTGCCCTGCTGCTCATGCTACAAGAGCCTACTTCCAAAAGACGAGGGGAAGGGATGGATCTCTGCTCCCTGGGTCATTTGGTGTGGTAAAAAGGGGGCTCTGGAGTCCCAACTGCTTGGGTTCCAATCCTTAGTGCCTCTTTGTGCCTCAGTTTCCCCATCTGCAAAATAATCGCACCTACCTCAGAGTCGTCAAGATTAAGGTAACACACACAAAGTACTTAGCGCATTGCTTAACACATCAGTCCTTCAATAAGGGTTCCCTATTCTTCCCATGATAACAACCAGTAGCCATTTAGAAGCACACTGAGGTTTCCTGACCCTCTTCCCCCTAATTCCAGGACAAGGCTTTGGTCAGCTTGGGAAAGTTAACACATTCTATAAACCTCCGGAAGTCTCTGGGTGGTGGTGACTTACCTTTCCATCTAGGCCATCTAGGATTGGATAGACCCTACATAGTCTTTTCTGTTCAGGAATGGGGAGAGATGGAGATGAACACCCAGGGTCTGGATTCCTCAGTCTTGGCATTCTGATGTAGTACTGTCTAGCCCATTGCAACCAACCTGTCTTCTTACTCGTGCTCTATTTTATTCTTGTTCTTCTCATTTTCTCTACATGCTTCACCCTCTTCCCTTTCTCCCTTGCTGGCACTGCATCATTGCTAGCTAAACCTGATCTGTATTACCGACTCCTGGTGTCAACGCACACACAAGCCACATCACTGAAAGCTAAACCTCAGGGACATGGTTTCTGGGCTGCAGAACTGATTTAGGGAGAAGAACATCTGTATACTGGGTCTGAATGTACTTAAAACACTTAGGCCAAGCTTACTGTTCCCTTCTCCCTCTGCCATACTTCGAAAGGTAAAAATTTTTAGCACTGAAATAGCAATAAACTATAATATTTAGCTTACATAAAACAAACTTATATTGCATATAAAATACACTTATATTGAATGCCTATTCTCTAAGCAAAGTTCTGTGCGGGGCATTGTGGAGATACCCAATCTGTTCATTTAAGGGCCTATGATCAATTGGGGGAGGGGGACACACACATAATCAACCAAACCAAAAGGGAAAAATAGATGATTAAGTATCATGATGAAGGCAAAATGCTGAGGAAGCAATGTAAATGGGGGGCAATGTGGAAATGTTTTCCAGAAAGTGTGCTAAAAGACCAGATTATTTATAAAGGGACCCAAATAACAAGTGCTTCTATGTTATGTACCTCAATTAGCAGCTACCCCCCTTCATGGCTCCAATGGCAGAGGCATGTAGGAGGCATTCTTTTAAGAAGCAAATGTCATTAGAGATCTTTGGCTCTGTGGCCTAAGAGAAAGTCCTTAGGAAGTCTTACCTTTCCAGATCTGCAATAGGCAGCTGCAAACCTTGTAGCCTCCCGGACACACAGGACATCCATTCCATCTACCTGTTCATAAAGGGGTAATGAGCAGAGCATAAATCAGACAGAGCCAAACCATTCTCATTCTACATGATCTGGTCATGCATTAAGAAGATGAAACCCTTGACATTTTTCTATACTTGTCAAGGGTATGCACGAAGGCATGTAGCTGAGTGTGAGCAGCCTTGTTTACAGTGGCTGTCCTTACCCTCAGCCCAGGAATAAAATCGCCTCTCTTGTAGTAGTCAGTGCTGGCTGCTGCTCTCTCGACAGATGTTCCCATTCCATAGCGGTTGTTCTCACAGATGAAAATACAAGGTAATTTCCACAAAGCTGCCATATTGTAAGCTTCAAATATCTGACCCTGGAAGTAGTCATTAAAAAGTTCAAACGTTCATTTTGCTATTTTTCTCTAGACAATAGTCTTCTAAAAGCTTCTGGTAGTGAGAAAAAGGAGTGTGTGTACTGGGGAAAGTGGGGAGAAGCAGCAAGTACCATGTTCTTTTGCAAGTAAGGGAAGTTACAAACCAAATTTATACCACTTATTTCTCACGGGGCCATGCAAGTATAGAATGGAAAAAAAGATAAACATGAAAAAATATTTTGGCTTATCTAGTTTCATGTTTTCTTAAAAATTCTATCAGACCCACTGGATACCCAGTGGCAACCAGTGTCTCTGATTCTACATCTAGAACACCAGTGAAGCCCATGGATGGGGACTGGCTCACGGATTGCTGACTCCTCGGACCAGGACAAGATAAGTGCAGGAAGTACAAACCAGGGTTTAGAAACTATGATTTGACATTGTCATGGCACCCAAAAGAAGGAGCGTGTATATTATAGTAGTGGTGTTAAGTACTGGCTTGCAATAGGTTAGAAGTTGAAAAGGAAAAGGAGGAGGGTTCCTTTACTACAGGTAGTTTGGGGAGCACTGATGTGTAGGGCATTAAAGATGTTCCCCCACAGCCATATGACTCTGAAGCACTTGTGAAAACATGCTGAGAGTTACATCTAATTTGACCATAAAACCACACAATTTGCCATATGAATTTCTGTCTCAAGCAATACGCAATATACTACTAGTCTACAAACTCAACTACAAATATTCAACAATTTGGAAGTAAAACTGTGATCGGGTACAGAAAATTAAGAGGCACATATTTACCTGATTAGCAGCACCATCCCCATATAGAGTCAAGCAGACTTCATCTTTTCCATTGTACTTGCAGGCCAGAGCAATGCCAGCTCCCAGGGGCACCTGACATCAAGGACAACCAAGAAAGAAACCACAGAAATCCATGAGGAGAGAAAGTAATGCTCTGCATTTTAACTCCTGGCCAGAATTTGGAAAATTATATACTGCTACTGCAAACTCTCCTTACTCCGTCTCCTTGCTTACCTACCCCCGATATTTTAAAGAAACTGAGAACATGAATAAAATATTGTATTCTATTTCAACTTTTAAGCAAACATTTCTGCTTTCAAAAATTCAACTACTAAACAACCCAAAAATAAAACCTAGGTTTTTTCTTTTTAAAAAAAAAAAATTTGATTATCCACTTACTGATGGGAACAAGAGGAGGACTACATAACCACAGAAGCTGGCTTTGGATTATAAATCAGCCCGAGATAACCACCACCTGCCTCTTCTAGTTTGACCCCAATGCTAGCACTGTCTGAAAGCAGTATGATGCAGGACTACATTGAGGCAACAAAGCCATGTATGTACTTAAGTTGGTGGTAGGGGGTGAAATTTTGGGGAGACACGGGCCAGGGCCAATCTAGGATGGCAGGACACTGCTTGCTCATCCTCATCCTTCTCATGGCCATAGATGATAGACTACCTGAGCCCCGACAATGCCATTGCCCCCGTAGAAGTTCTTGGCATACATATGCATTGAGCCTCCTTTTCCTTTAGCACAACCTCCTCTTCGTCCTAGAAGTGGCAGAAAACACACATATGCATCAAAAAACAAATACACCAAACAAAACCACACCCCAAGTACTCACTGAGAAAGCACAACCATTACAACTCCTAGGCCAATTCAATTATCATTCAATTATCTGAGCATCTGTCTCTTCATGCAAACATGTTTCTCCTTGTATCCCTGTCCTTTTGTAATGAAGGGTGGACTAGTTCCGTGTCCTTGACCTTTTGGACTCGACCTTCTCAACAGTTTCCTTCAGGTGTTAGCATGGCAGCCTGGACTTATTATTAAATATCTTCCAATGTCTGCTACACTGTTACATTATAGATAGTTCAAGACGCAAGGAAAAAGGGAATATTAAGATTCCTAGAATTTACATACCAGGGAGTGCTTCTACCCAATTTACCTTCTAAGACAGCGAGACTGTTGGCATGCATGCTTGAGTGACCAAAGAAATAAACACTATTCTGGTTTTATATAGCTAACCTTTTTAAACATTTACCTAAGGGGCCAGATGACCTCAAAAATGGTTGGTTTACTCAAAAGTACAACAGAGCAACAAAAAGGAGAGTGTGTTTCTTTTTTAAACTCATAACAGCATCTTAACAGGAAATATATGAAAACCTAGTTCATTTATTTCACCCTTTTGGAAATCACTAGCAAACCTGTTAGTTCTGTGAGGATTTCTCGGACAGAAAGACCACGAGTAAAGGTAAAGCCATGGGCCCGATAGGCTGTAATGAGATGGTCGGTGGGATTTATACCAGCCTCCAGCCCCACACAGCAAGCTTCCTGCAGTAAAGGAAGAAGAAACAGGAAATCAATACACCACACATTTCTTGATAAAAAGGTCTCCTAGACTATCGTGAAACATTTAGACTAGCAGAACATTTCGTTAGTAACCGGAGAAATTGGTTACTTTTGGTAAAAAACAGTGGAAGTTAAGGCCCAAACCATAAGCCATACACGGGCAAGAAACAGACGTGTTTTCTTTAGCCTGCTCAGTGATTAAAAAAATCCTGAATCAGATGTGTAAGGTAAAGTTAACCTTGCCCGAAGAATCTGATATTTGTCCTTGATTCCTGAGGTAACATCTAAAATCTTGGACTTCCGCCACTGATTGAAGGGTCTTTGATGAAGCCTCCAGACCACACCTGAGGGTTTATGACTTGTGTTGGGTGTGGGTTGACAATGCCAGAAAGACCCAGCCTTGTGATATCCACCAGCCTCAGGGGACAGGGCTAGAATTTGAATTACACAATGAGAACCCCAATAAACGCTCTTGACACTGAAGCTCCATGGGCTTCCTGGTAGATAGAAGACATTGATGCACATGGGAGGGTAGTGATCCACTTCTTGTGTCTCTTCCTTTTTGCTATAATAAAACTAATTTTTAGTATAGCACCTTCCATGACTCCTGTGAGTTATTCTAGTGGACTATTGAACTGGAGGGAGTAGTGGGAGCCAGCAAGTTGTGGGGTGGGGTGGGGGGGCTGATGGTGTCATGGGAACTCCAAGTTTGTGGCCGGCACCTGAGGTCCTGGGCAGACTTTGCAGTCTGGAGGACTGTGCCCTTTAACCTGTGAGGTCTGACTTAGCTCTGAGTGGTTAAGGTCAGAGGAAGAAGTACTGCACGGGCAGCTGGTGTCAGAAGAGTTGGGAACAGAATGGAATTAATAAACTGATTTTGATTTCCATGTAATTAGGTGTCAGAGAAATGGGATTTGATCTTCCCAGGAGCTGTCAACACTGAAATATTGGGAAAATTTCACATAAAAACCCAGACTTCTGTCTTGAAGAAAAGAAAAAATTAGAGGCATTAGCCCCTCATTGCCATATGGCACCAAACAGTTGGGACCTCATTACAGACGTCCTCTCTGGACGGGACCTGCCCACTTCAGTACACCATTAGCCCCTGCCACCATTCTCTATTTCTTGTATACCTGGCCGCCGTCACACATTTTTCAACCTGTGTGGCCCCCATAGACATTTGAATTTGTAACCTTAGGTGTAAAAACAAAAAAAATCCCACCTTTTCTAAGCACAGATGATCACAATGCCATAAAGTTTTGAAATGGTAAAATTCTAACATGAATAAATTCTTTGCTAAGCTTCACAGCAGGCCTTAGCAGTCTAACTTTTATTCTAAAATATCAGACTCAAATCCTTTTGCTGCATAAGGCAGGGTAAAAGCAAATAAATACAAACCATACTAAACTACCATGGTTTTATTATAAAACTCCCACTCACCTGACCATCACACAAGTGGCAGAAGCCCCGGATGATTTTCTGTTTATACAGCTGATCTGCTTTTAATTCCATCCGGCGGACAGTCTGCATCATCCTGTAGTATTTGAGCCCATCCTCCCTGGTGAGCACAGTTGTGACAGGGGGACCCTCTTCCAACCGATGGAGATCACATTTCTGAAATAACGCATTTATCTTCCGTTTATTACACTAAACACTGCCAACTCTAAAACCTAGTTCAGTCCCAATTGGTAACTCAAAAAACAGCAAAGGAGCACATCAGAAATGTTCCATGTTCTGATTCCTTACGTTTAGAAACCTCACTGTGCAAGGCCATAGGGTATTTTTGGGAAGGAAATCGTTCAAAGATGACTTTCACTGAAAACCCCTAGAAATCAACTGAGTTACAGGTTGAAAGATATACTTTCAAAGAAACAGTCTCTAAGAATTTTCTTACTCAACTTTTTCACATTTTAAACTTTGGGGTAAATGCTGTATTTTCTTTAGCTCTCCACTAGGGAACACCAGCAAGCCACTACGAACAGTCCATTCTAATTTTTGCTAAACTTCCCTGTGTGATTCTGAGATGTTAAGGAAAAAATGGTGAAAATATGAATATCAAAATGTTCTATTCCAAATATAAAACTCCAATATCAAAGTGTACCTCTGAAAAAAGTATTAACACAAAGTAAACACCTCTTACCTTAATTTCAAATGTAGCATCATTTGCAAAGTTACGGGATGCCACCAGCACTCTGCTAGCCTTGAAAAAAAACAAAATATATAAATTAGTACTTTCTAATTGTCACTTATTTATTTTTGAAAGTCATTATTATTAGTTGGCTATCAAGATGCAGTCATGGAACTTTAATAAGCCCTGACTTTAATAAGCCCCAACATATTCACAAGCTTATTTTCTATTCTGTTCATTACGTTGGCATCTTATTTTCTAAAATAATCCATGCTGTGGCCAATGAAATATCACTGTCCCTCCATCTGAAGGCAAACAGCAAAAAGAGAAAGTCTGTTGTCAAAGAAATTATAGCTGAGAACATAATGAAATTAATGGCTGAATGGAAGAGACTAGATAATCTATGAGCTTTACTTTGAACAGCCTAAATCTTGGGAAGGTTCCTTCTGAAGTCCCAGAAAGGAGACATGTTTTCCAAAACAATGTGTTTCCTTCTTGATGGTGGCGACTATCACAGCTTGGGGGGTAAAGAGCTGGGGAAATATTTCCTCTTCTCTCTTACAATTGAACACACCTGCTCATAGTATAAGTATTCTATGTGATAGCTAAGGTCCAGGTTAGATCACAAAAAAATTCAACCAATTAGTATATTGTACTGTTTTAGCCACATTCTGGATTATGTCATCTTTGGACACATTTTCACATGCTGAAATGTAAACCAGCACCATTTCTTTTCATGGAGACCTGAAGCATATTCATCAGATCCCATAAAAAGTACTTTCATACAGTGTATCACCTTACTATTCAACTTCTAAGACTAGACTTGATTTTGCTGAGAAAGGTTAAGATTTACCTGCTAATAACAGTTTATAAAGAAAATGTTCTACATTCTACTTTGGTGAGTAGCATCTGTGGTCTTAAAAGCTTGTGAGTGGCCATCTAAGATATTTCACTGGTCTCACCCCGTCTGGAGCAAAGGGAGATCGAAGAAAACCAAAGACACAAGGGAAAGATTATCTCAAAGGACTAATGGACCACAACTACCACAACCTCCACCAGACTGAGTCCAGCACAACTAGATGGTGTCCGGCTACCACCACTGACTGTTCTGACAGGGATCACAATAGCGAGTCCTGGACAGAGCTGGAAAAAAATGTAGAACAAAATTCTAACTCACCAAAAACAAAAAACAAAAAAAAAAACCCAGACTTAGTGGTCTGACAGAGACTGGAGAAACTCCTAGAGTATGGCCCCCGGACGCCCTTATAGCTCAGTAATGAAGTCACTCCTGAGGTTCACGCTTCAGCCAAAGATTAGACAGGCCCATAAAACAAAACTTGACTAAATGGGCACACAAGCCCAGGGGCAGGGACTAGAAGGCGGGGGTGGGGGTGGGGGGGACAGGAAAGCTGGTAACAGGGAACCCAAGGTGTTGACATGTCGTGGGGTTGGCAACCAAAGTCACAAAACAGTATGTGTATGGATTGTTTAGATGAAGGTTTCACAGGAGCAAACTAGTTTCTCATTAAAGTACAATTAAAAAAAGGACTTACCTGCTAAGTGTACCTCTAAGTGTACAAAGCAATAGGCAGAAAGCTAGTATCTAACTATCTCTTCATCTATCAATATACTAGTGTCTGATAAAGCCAACATATAAGCCAACATGTAATGCTGGAGGAAAATGTTTAAATACTAGAAATAAATTGCTTCAGTTAAGTTAGAGGTAGAGGGTTCACACATACATCTAAAAATAAGTAAAGAAAATTTAGGAATTTGGTAAGAAGTATGGCTGAGGGGTGAAGTAGGACAGGAAAAGTTATATTTGGCAATCATGAAATGGACGTATTATTTTTGGCAGTTAAATTATTTTGTGGAGCCAGAAATATTTACTGTATTGCAAAATAAATTTCCAGCCACAGTTACAGACACTGCATTTCTTAGAAGTTTTAAAACTAGAGACCAAATCAGCCAAGCAATAGTAACAGAGAAAAGGTGAATCCTTCTTCCCTATCCTGGTGGCACAGTGGTTAACAGTTCAGCTGCTAACCAAAAAGGTTGGCAGTCCGAATCCACCAGCCACTCCTTGGAAACCCTATGGGGCAGTTCTGCTCTGTCACAGGGTCGCTATGAGTTGGTATGAGTCGGAATTGACTTGACAGCAACAGGCAATGGGTAACAGGTAAGGTAAAAACAATGAAGAATGATCAGCAGTGCTAATAAAGAGCAAGAAGGTCAAAGATTATGACTGCCAGGAAACTACGTAGATAACTTTCCTTCCTTGTTCCGTTATTTCTAATCAATCTCAAAAATAAGTAGAACCACTGACATAATGGTGAAAGGAATCAAATTAAAGAAGCTACAGGTCCTATCAGAAGGTGAACGTATCATAATTTTTATCCATGAGATTGTTGAGAAGATAACTTTACCATTCATTTTCTCAGGAGAGTCATAGAAAGATTCTCTGCTAAATGACATGCCTTTTTGACAGAGACCATGGATAACCCATTCAAATTTTGAAAAAACAAAAACTTTAAGTTCCTAATACATGGGAACCATTCAAATGAAAAGAGAAAAATACTTGCAAAATTCTAGGCTCTACTAGTGTAAGTTAAAAATCTTACCTACTACTAAAAAAGCAAAAAGAATATTGGTAATAAAGATCTCACAAAAATGAGTAACACAAGAAGGGGTCATAACAGAAACACAAACAATAAGACAAAAAATTTCAAATGCAAATCAATCTTCCATGTAACAGAACTCTGAAAAATATCGACCTCGTTCAAAGATGAAATCACAAGAACTCAAAGGAACTTACACTGAACTTACACTGGGCTCTCTGCTTTTAGAGATTCTCAACTTTCTATATGACAAACCTTTAGCTAGACTGACAGAAGATGCAAATGTATAAAATTAGGAATAAAAGCGGGGATATTACAACTGACCCTGCAAAAGAAAAAGGAACATTAAAACATACTATGAACTGTATGTCAACAAGTTAGACAGCTTAGAGAAAATGGACAAATACCTAGAGACACAAACTTCCTACAATGACTCAAGATGAAAAAGATCACGAAACCCATAACAAGTAAAGAGATTGAATCAGTAATCAAAAACCTCCCAAAAACAAAAAAGTTCTGGACCAGATGATGTCACTGGGGAATGCTCCCAAACATTTACAGAAGTGACTCTAACCCTTCTTAAACTTTTCCAAAAAATAGAAGAGGAAGCAACACTTAACTCATTCTGTAACGCTAGCATTACCCTGATACCACATCCAGACAAAGACACCACAAGGAAACTAAAGACCCATATCCCTTATGAATATAAATGCAAAATTCTCAACAAAATACTAGCAAACCAAATCCAAAAGGATATTAAAAGGATTATACACCATGATCACGTAGGATGTAACCCAGGAATGCAAGGGTGGTTCAACATTAGAACAGTCAATCGATGTGTAATATACCAGATTAATTAATAGAACAAAGGAAAAGAACTACATGATCACCTTAATTGACAAAGAGAAGACATCTGACAAAATACAACACCCTTTCAAGATAAACACTCAACGAGCTAAGAATAGATGGGAAATTCCTCGATAAGATAAAGGGCATTTAAGAAAAACCCACAGCTAAATCATACTCAATGGAGAAAGAATAGAGCTTTCCCAATAAGATCGGGAACAAGACAAGTATGACTGTTCTCACCACTGCTATTCAACACTGGAAGGAAGTCCTAGCCAGAGAAATTAGGCTAGGGGAAGGAAGATGTAATACTATCCTTTTCGCATTATGACATGATCCTATATACAGAAAACCCCAACTATCTCACAAAAAAAGCTAATAAATGAATTCAGCAAAGTGGCAGGGTGCAAGGTCAGTACACAAAAATCAGTTGGGTTTCTATACATCAGCAACGAGCATTCTGAAAAAAATTAAGGAAACAATTCCATTTCCAATAGCATCCAGAAGAATAAAATACCCAGGAATAAATTTACCCAGGGAGGTGAAAGACTTGTACACTGAAAACTATAAAATATTACTAAAAGAAATTAAAGAAGACCTAAGTAAATGGAGGGGCACTGGTGGTTCAGTGGTAGAATTCTTCCTTCCATGCAGGGGAACATGGTTTGATTCTCGGCCAATGCAACTCAAACACAGCTTATGTGTTGCTATGATGCTGAACAGGTTTCAGGAGAGCTTCCAGACTAAGAGGGACTAAGAAGAAAGGCCTGGTGATCTACTTCCAAAAATCAGCCCATGAAAGCCCTGTGGATCACTATGGTTTGATCCATAACTGGTCATGAGGATGGCACAGGACCAGGCATTGTTTTGTTCCCTTGTGCTTGAGGGTCGCCACGAGTCAGGAGCTGACTTGACAGCAGCTAACAACAACAACAAATAAATGAAAGAACAGTCCATATTCATGAACTGGAAGACGTAATACTGTTAAGATGTCAATACTACCCAAAGCAATCTACAAATTCAATGCAATTCCCATCAAAATTTCAACAGCCTTCTTTGCAGAAATGGAAAAGTAAATCCTCAAATTTATATGAGACGGCAAAGGACCCCAAATAGCTAAAGCAATCTTGAAGAATAAAATAGGGGGGGCTCACACTTCCTCATTTTAAAAAGTATACTATAAAGCTACAGTAATTACAACAGCCTGGTACTGGTATAATAATAGACATATAGACCAAAGGAATAGAATTGCGAGTCCAAAAATAAATCCGTACATCTACGGTCAACTGATTTTTGACAAGGGTGCTACATCCGATTCAATGGGGAAGGAATAGTCTTCAATAAATGGTGCTGGGAAAACTAGATTTCCACATGCAGAAAAATAAAACAGGATCCATGCCTCACACCACATAAAAATCAGGTGAAAATGGATCAAAGACCTAAATGTGAAAACTAAAACCATAAAATTCTTAGAAGAAAATATGGGGTATGTCTGCTGGGCCTAGTTTTTAATGATGGATTATCAGATATGACAACAAAAGCATGAGCAGCAAAAGACAAAACAGAAGAGTGGGGATAGTTGCACAACGTAAAGTTTGTAATTAATGT